GGGCAGGGAAACATCATCTCTAAAATCAGTCTTGCTCTCGCCCCCTTGCCACTTCCACCCCCAAAGAGAAAGGCGGAGGAAGAGCAGGAGCACGAGGTTGGCGCGAGGAGGAAGAGGAAGAGGAAGAGGGGGAGGAGAAGGAGGAGAAGGAGGAAGAGGAGGAGGTAGAAGAAGAGGTTGGGAAGAGGCGGAATGAGGAATGAGGAAGCGAGGACCGAGGAGGGCGGCGTAGGCGGGCGCAGCTCCTGAACCCACTTCTTGATGTCCTGCACGAAGGGCCTTGCTGTGCCCGTCTGGAGCGGACTGAAATCTTCCAAAGTGGGCCGCGAGATCGGGAAGTCCCTGGCATCATGGGCCAGAACTCGGAACGATCGGATCCGTCCATCCATCCTCCTCCTCATCCTCCTCCTCCTCCTGCACTGGCCCCTGCCCCCTCCTCCCCCCCTCCCTCCATCCCACCTCTTCCTCCTTCCTCTTTTCCCCTCTTCTTCTCCTCCTCCTCCCCCTTCTCCTCCTCCTGCACCTCCTCCGCCTCCTCCTCCTCCTGCCTCCTCCTCCTCTCCTCCTCCTCCTCCTCCTCCTCCCCTCACTCCTCCTCCTAGCCCTCTCCTCCTCCTCCTCTTCCTCAACATCAGCAGCAGCAAGCAGCCTCAGCCGCATCAGAAGCAGCGTCAGCATCCTCATCATCATCATTTTCATCATCATCATTCAACATCATCATCATCATCCATCATCATCATCATCAGCATCATCATCTTCCAGCAACAGCATCAGCATCATCACAGCATCATCATCATCATCATCATCATCATCATCATCATCATCATCATCATCATCATCATCATCATCATCATCATCATCGTCAGCATCATCATCCAACACCTCCTCCCACATTCCTCTCTTGTTTGCTGCTCCTGCGCTTCCCTTGACATCATCATCTTCATCATCGTCGTCACGATCATCATCATCGTCATCATCATCATCAGCAGCAGCATCAGCATCAGCATCAGCATCAGCATCATCCTCATCATCATCAGCAGCATCATCAGCATCATCATCATCAGCAGCAGTATCGACATCAGCATCAGCATCATTGCTATCATCATCATAATCATCAGCAGCATCATCAGCATCATCATCAGCATCATCATGAGCAGCATCATCAGCATCATCATCATCAGCATCATCATCAGCATCATCAGCATCATCAGCCTCATCAGCAGCAGCATCATCATCATCGTCATCGTCAGCAACATCATCAGCAGCAGCAGCATCAGCAGCAGCATCAGCATCGTCAGCAGCAGCGTCACCATTCTCATTAGCGTGATCGTCGTCGTCATCATCATCATCAGCAGCAGCATCAGAAGCTGCATCAGCACCATTACGCTCAACACGATGGATACGAGCAATACGACACGCAGCATCATCACCATCATCATCATCAGCATCATCCCCTCTTCCTCCACCTTTCCTCAATACCCTGTTCATCAGCCTTGCTTCTGCCGCCTTTTCTCCTCCGTCGAATCGAACTTTCCTGCTCCTCCTCCGCCACCTCCTCCTCCTCTCCTCCTCCTCCTCATCCTCCTCCTCCTCCTCCTCCCTCCCTCCCTCCCTCCCTCCCTCCCTCCATCCCTCCCTCCCCCCGCCCTACTTTCCTCCAGCACGTATGGTGGCGAAACTCAGCTGGGCAAGAAGCCGGGCAGCGAGACCATCGTTGGACTATCACCATCGTCCCATCGGGTGCCCCCCCCCCCCGAAAAACATGTAACTGTGTAATGATAGATGTGTGTGTGTTAGCCAGCGTGGACCCCAAACAGTATGGTTCTAGAAATATATGCCGTGCAATATGTGTGGAGCAATCTATGTGGTACAACATATGTTGCAGTCTAGCCATTTCTGTTGTACAACATATGTTGTACAACATATGTCGTACAGTCGATGTGGTACATTATATGTCGTGCAATCTATGTGGAGCTAGATTGGTTGCGAAGTCAATGTGGAGCCAATGCATGTGGTGCAATATAGATGTTGCAAAATGTGTAGTAGATGTTGTGCAACACATGTTTGCGATCTATGTGGAGCAAAGTATGTGGTGCAATCTACGTGGTGTAATATGTGTAGTGCAACCGACGGGGTATCGTCTATGTGGTGCAATTGACTACCCTGCACCGCGCCTGACCACCTCCACTGCTCGCGCAAACATCCTACCCACCCACCCGCAACTTGGTCGCAAGACTTCTTAAGACAAGACCGTGACGGTAGGTACCACATGGCACTTGGCCACGACACCGACGCCGACGACGACAGCGACAACGACGACGACAGCGCCGCCGACACCAACTACGACGACACCGCCGACGTCGACGTCGACGAAGACGACGACGACGCCGACGCCGACGACGACGACGACGAAGACGACGACGACGTCGCCAACGAAGACGACGACGAGGAGGGAGGACGACGACGGCGACAACGACGACAACGACGATGGATGAGGGAAGACGGCGACGACGCGAACGACGAAGAAGGAAGGACGGCGACGCCGACGACGACAACGACGAGGGAGGAGGGAAGACGACGACGACGACAACGACGACGAAGACGACGACGACGGCGACGAAATAGGAGGGACGACGACGAGACGCCGACGACGGACGACGACGACGACGACGAGGGAGGAGGATAACGACGAGGGAGGAGTGAAGACGACGACGACGACGACGACGACGACGACGACGACGACGACGACGACGACGACGGCGGCGAAATAGGAGGAAGACGAGGGAGGAAAGACGACCACGGCGACAACGACGACGGAAGCGACGACGACGACGACGACGAGGAAAGACAGAAGACGACGACGGCAACGACGACGACGACGACGAGGGAAGAGGGAGGACGACGACGACGACGACGCAAGAGCGCGCGCGCACGCTTTTGTTGAAAATCCATGTTGCGAAACCTTGTGTTTCTGTAGGTTTTTTGGAGACACGATTTTGAAATCCTTCCAAAACCGATGGGTTTTGAAGGTTTTCGGCATACGCGCGCGACGACGCGCGCGTCTGCACTTCGTCCCATTGTTTGCAGAGGATTCTCGCGACGGCACACTCGCAAGGGCGTTCGACAGATTTCGACATGCGCGCGCGACGCCCGTTTAATAGCATTTTGTGAAAATCTTGAAAAACCTATGGTTTTCTTAAGATTTCGCAAGAGCTCGCGCGGAAGCTTTTTTAGCAAATCAGTGCTGCGAAACCCTATGTTTTTGTATGTTTTTTGGAAACTCGATTGCGAAATCCTTCCGGCACCGAAGGTTTTTGAAGGATTTCGGCATATGCGCGCGCGACGGCGCGCGCGTGCACTTCGTCCCATTTCTTGCAAGGGATTCGCGAAAAAGTGCTATGTTAGAACAAAAATGTCACCGCATAGTGTTCTTCACAGGGGACCCTCAGGGGGGGGGATACCGGCCCCCCGGGGATAGTGCAAATTCATATGTAGGATGGACATGTGGTCAGAATCATATGTGATTTACATACCGAAAGGAGTAGCGATAACGCCAGGGGGGGGGTAGATCCTTTTCTGTTTTTGGAAAGGAGAATACATGCTGTGCAACGGGGCGGCGGCGACGGGACGGGGCGGCAATGCGACAACATAGCCGCCAGACCGCCAGCCAGCGGCGACGATGCGGCGACGGTGCGGCGACGGCGACAAGATAGCCGCCAGACCGCCACACAGGCCCAGACGACTGGCGGAGACGAGGCGGCGACGGGGAGGCGACGGCGACAGCATAGTCGCCAGACCGCCACACAGGCCAAGATGCTTAGAAAAGAAATAAGAGCCCCGAAGTGCAAACGCAGTTGGAGGAACAACAGCCGGCCCTTCGGCGCGTATGAGACGCTTTTCCATTTTACTCGTCGTCGTCTTCGTCATCGTCGTCCTGTCCTCCTCGTCGTCGTCGCCAGTCCCGAGGAAGCTGAAGAGCAAGGACAAGGAACGTCGTAGTTAAGTCGATCCCCTTCATTTTGTCCCTTCCCTGCCAGGGGAGGGAGGGGAGGAGGCAGGGGGCCCCAGGGCAGAATCCCGCCCCCTCCCCCGCCAAAGCTCCTGGCGGCCCCCTGAGGAGGGTCGCCCGCGGGGATCCCGTGGAGGTCCTGCCTATAGGGTCGGCGGCACCGGCCGTAGGGCCTTCGCAATGAGGAAAAAAACGTACCAGTTCCAACGCCCCCCTCCCATTCCCAGGAGGAGGAGGAGGAGGAGGAGGAGGAGGAGGAGGAGGAGGAGGAGGACTGGTGCATTGCTGATGCCCATGAGGATAGGCTTGACCCTGTCGAGCCAGGCAGGGCACTCGGGCCCTCGCATCATTGAAGAGCTCGTGAAGGTTGGGAGGGCAAAAAAAACGGACTGGCTCCAGAGCCAGGAGGAGGAGGTAGAAGATGAACAAGGCGAGGAGGAGGCGGAGTATCCGGCGGAGAGCGAGGAGGAGGAGCGCGGAGCGCAAAGCGAGGAGGAGCGAGAAGCGAGAAGCAGGAAGCGAGGAGCGAGGAGCGAGGAAAATCACAAGTAGGAGCGGGAGCAGGAGAAGCAGGACGAAGACGAGGAGAGGGACGCGGTGCCTCCTCCTCCTGCTCCTCTTCTCCACCCCCTCCTCCTGCTCCCCTTTCCCCTCCTCCTCCTCAGCCTCCTCCTCCACCTCCTCCTCCCCCTCATCAACATCATCATCATCATCATCATCATCATCATCATCATCAGCATCATCATCATCATCAGCACCACCATCATCATCATCAACAGCAGCATCATCATCGCCATCACCATCACCATCACCATCATCATCGTCACCATCATCACCATCACCATCTTCATCATCATCACCATCATCATCATCGCCACCAATTTGAGCACACCCCTCATCACCATCACCATCACCATCATACCATCATCACTATCATCATGAACCTTCCAACAGCAACAGCATCATCAGCATCATCAACAACGCCGACGACAACGGCAGCATCATCAGCATCACCGTCATCGTCACCACCATCATCATCAGCAGCAGCATCAGCATCATCATCAAGCTCAGCATCATAATCATCATTATTATCAGCATCGTCATTCTCATCACCAGAAGCATCATCGTCATCCTCCGCATAATCAATAGCATCATCATCATCATCATCAGCAGCATCATCATCATCATCATCATCATCACGAGTATCATTATCAGCATTAACATTATCATCGCAACGGGTATCGTCATCGTCATTCACATCGCTATCGTCATCACCACCATCACCATCATCATCATCATAATCATCATCATCATCAGCATCATCAGTATCATCATCGCCGTCATCGTCATCGCCATCATGATCACGATACTCAACGTCACCAGCATCAAAATCAAAATCGCCATCATCGTCATAAGCATCACCATTATATGCAACATCAGTCAACAGCAGCATCGGCACCATCAACAACAGCATCAACATCAACATCATCAACATGATCTGCACATGTATAATCACCATCCTCACCACGGCCCTGGTTATAAGCACAACCATCACCGCCAACAACAACAACGACGAACATGGTTAGACGAATCGCTCTTAGCTGCTCGCGTGACATTCTACATGCATATCCCAAGCCCACGATACTCGCCCTCTCATGCTTGGGTCGTACCCCCCCCCCCTCGGGGGTATATCTTCCCTACCTGCCAGCAGCCCCTAAAACAGGAGATCGGAAGGGATGAGTGCGAAGCGGGGATTTATCCATACCCACTGGGAACCGACGTCCTGGTGCCCCAGCAGGCGGTGGATATGGAGATATCTTTCGGCCCCCGGGGGTCCGAACATGTCCATATCCACCGACTGCCGAGGCTCCGAAAACTGACCCCCCAGGCGGTGGATATGGACAGATTCCCGCCTCGGAACGAGGGAAGGGACAAGGAAGGGGGAGGAAGAGGGCTGGAGCACGAGAGCGACTGGCAGGGGGGGGGGCTGTCAGGAGCAGGAGAAGCAAGCGACAGAACCACGCGGGCCCTGACGGGCGGGTCGGGCGGAGGGGCCCAGGCGGCCGAGCCGAGCGGGCGGGTCGCTGGAGCTTCAGTCCCGCGTGAATCGCGAGGAAGACTCGAGCGATATGCTGCGATTCCCGAGCAGATCGCGGGGAAGTCCAAAGCGAGAGCGCGATTCCTGAGTGTCGACCGCGCGGCGCCCCAACAACTTACAAGAAAGTCCGACGCGAGACCGTCACTCCTGGATAAATCGTGAGGAAGTCCTGCGCGAGAGCGCGGCCTCGATTGACAGAGAGGAAGTATCAGACGGTAGCCGCTGTTGTTGGTGGTGGTGACGTTGCTGTTGCTGCTCTTGGTGCTGTTGTTGAAAATCGGCGGCCCAGGGCGCAGCCTGAGGCCCGAGATGATTCCTTGTAAATCAACCAGGTATGAGCCTCGGGAGGGATACTTCAACGCAAAACAAAATGTGCGCCAAATGGGGGGAGGGGGAATCACAATAATTATGCTTGACAAGTGGGAAGTCACCAACAACACCAGCAGCAGCATCAACATCGTCACCACAGGTATCATGCTCACCGTGTTCATCCGTCGACCCCCACTCGCTGTGGGTGAGAAGGCGTGTGAGATGATTGGTTGTTCCCCTCCCAATTTCCCCTGTCTCCAGGGTCGCCTCTGACTCCACCACCCCTGGCGTTCAAGCTTCCCAATATGCTTCCTAAGCTGGTTCAAGAAGGGCTCCGACACGCCAGAGAGGTCTCAAGAACATCCCAAATGGCCTCAGGCCGGCCCTGAAGGCCTCCAAGACGCCGCAAGAGGGCCGCAAGAGAACTCCAAAGAGGGCCGTCGAGAAGCAAACATCAGTGATTTCCAATGTGGTTTGAAGAGTTTCGCAGTCTCGCCTTGCTGGGCTCGTGGCAGCCCTAGGCGGCCCCCGACGCTTCCCTCAGAGCGGCCCAAGACGGCCAAAGGCCCGAGGGGCGCCCGAGCGGGCCTGGAGGCGGCCGAAGAAGGGCCCCCAGACTGCCCAAGAGGGCCCCCAAGACGGCAGACAAAATCCTGAAAGGGCCCCCTAGATGTTGCTAGATCCTGGGGTCATCGCCAAAGCAATAGCTCCTGCACGCAGCCGACGCGCGACGGAAGGGCCCGATGGGGGCCGCAAGAGGACGAAGGACGGGCCCCAGGAAGCCACGGAGCCCCACAGTGGAGACGCGTAGGGGCCCCGGGAGCCCTCCCCGCAGGAGGGCCCCCAAAGACCCGCGGACTGCCCCCAAGAGGCCCCCAGCCCCAGAGGGCCCACCGTAGCCTTAGCCTTTGCGCGGCGCCAGCGTTGAACGCGCAGTTTTTGCGGCGCCGACCGTGCGGGCAGGGCGTCCCGCTGCAGGGGTCGTTCGGCCGTCCGCGCCAGGGCGCCCAACTCCGCAAAAGAAAATGCGCTGCCACACAAACACCTCAAATTTTTGGTCACCCCTGTCGAGCGTGTCCCCCATACAGGCGGAGCTTGGACGGAAAATTAACAATGGTCAACAAAGATTCGAACATCGTCAACAAAATTGCTCCAGAAATCGTCCCCTGTACTACGTTTTGACTCTGTTTGGATATTCCTCCTGTCGAGGGGCGGGCCCGACTTCACCATAGCCCCCAGGAGCCCTTGAAAGACCTCCCAAGGGGGCCGCCACCGAGGCCTCCAAGAGGCCCAAAAAAATCCCTGCTGATGGGCTTGTTTTCCACCACCACCACCACCACCACCACCACCACCACCGTAAGCTGGAGGGGGGAAGGAGGTAGAGGACGAGGAGGAGGACGAAGAGGAGAAGGAGGAGGAGAAGGAGGAGGAGGATCCCCTCCCCCTCCAACTTATGGTGGTGGTGGTGAAAAACAGGCCCATCGCCTGCAAACAGACGCGGATGAAGAGAGGAGGACGCCTCAGCAACAACCTACGCGCAGGCAGCACGACGGGAAACGACAAACAGCACATGCCGAGTCGGAAGCTGCACATATCCAGGCCTGGGGATTCGGCGGGATGGCGCAAGTCTGATAAACCATCCTCCGCACGATCAGCATGAACACATACATTGTCACCACAACCATCTTCACTCATCATCATCATCATCATCATCATCATCATCATCATCATCATCATCATCATCATCATCATCATCATCATCATCATCATCATCATCATCATCATCATCATCATCATCATCATCACATCATCATCATCATCATCATCATCAGCATCATCATCATCATCATCATCATCATCATCATCATCATCATATCATCATCATCATCATCATCATCATCATCATCATCATCATCATCATCATCATCATCATCATCATCATCATCAGCATCATCATCATCATCATCAGTAGCATCAGCATCATCAGCATCAGCAGCAGCATCATCATCATCATCATCACCTCCTTCATCAGCAACAGCAGCATGGAAACAGCACGGGCTGCAAGCCCCACGCTGCCCCACGTTACCCAGGAGCTTCCGAGTCGGAAAGGAACGGGCCCTGAGAGGAGGCCCCGTGGGGGCGGCCAGAGCAACGGGCAACGGGCAGCGGCCGGTGCCGCAACGGTCCATTGGAAGTGAAGCACTATGGGAATTCCACGGCGCATGTGTGCTCCTGTCGAGCGAGCTTGCAGGGACCTTCTGAGATTGCAGCTGCAGCAGGAGCTGCATGAGCAGCTATCCCTGGGAGGTGCGGTCGGATCTGCGGCGAGAGGTGCCCTGCGGGCCTCTCTCCTCCTCTGCCCCTATCACCGCTCCGCCCCTCTTCCCGAGAAGCCCACGGGCAGAGCGCGACGGACAAACGGGAGGGACTCCGCGTCGCTGCAGCGGGCTGGGAGCGGGGCTCCACGTAGACGAACTTCAGCGAGCTGCCCCCCGGGCCGTCCCAGTTGGGCAGCTTGCGCACGTCAATCCAGCCGATCCTCGGCGGCCGACGCCCCGGCTGCCTGCGCTCCTCGTCCTCGTCCTCCTCCTCCTCCTCCTCGCCCTCATCATCATCATCATCATCATCATCATCATCATCATCATCATCATCATCATCATCATCATCATCATCATCATCATCATCGTCGCCGTCATCATCATCATCATCATCGTCATCATCATCATCATCATCATCATCATCATCATCATCATCGTCATCATCATCATCAGCATCATCATCATCATCATCATCGTCATCATCACCATCATCATCATCATCATCGTCATCATCATCATCATCATCATCGTCATCATCATCATCATCAGCAGCAGCATCATCATCATCATCATCATCATCATCATCATCATCATCATCGTCATCGTCATCATCATCATCACCACCACCACCACCATCATCATCATCATCACCACCACCACCACCACCACCATCATCATCATCAGCATCATCATCATCATCAGCATCAGCATCGTCATCATCATCGTCATCATCATCATCATTGTCATCGTCATCGTCATCGTCATCGTCGTCATCATCATCGTCGTCATCGTCGTCGTCATCAGCAGCAGCAGCAGAGTGATCGTCGTCAACGTCATCGCAATCGTCGCCATAGTCGTGATAGACATCGTCAGCAGATTCATGATTATCAGCTTACGCACTGTCATGTTCATGATCGTAACGACAGTGATCAACCACGTCGGCATCGTCAAACCTTATGGTCATGCTCATCGTCATAATCGTCAGCGTCGTCGTCGACCTCTGGCCATAGTCAATGTATCCCCATCCTTGTCTGACCATCCCCTTTCTATCTTACACGGTATCCTCATAATCCGCTTTATCCTGCTAGTCGTGGTCCTGCTGTTGCAGTTGATGCCGTCTTGATATTTCGACCATCCTCCCCCTCGCCCCCCTGTCCTCACTCATCTCCAATCGCTCCGATCTCCTCCTCATCATCATGCGTGGTCTGGCCAAGTGCACGTTAAGAACAGTATCCCCCTCGTCCTCCGTCGCGAAACTCACGCATGACCTTGCTTGGATATAACCGGGTTTGGTGATAGACGGCGACGCAACCACGTGTCTCAACTGCATGGTCAACCTTCCGTGAAGCGCACCCAGGTGCACGTGGTTGTGCGCATTCTCTCCCGAATCTGGTTTTCCCCTTCGAAGATGGGTCTACCCCTCCCCAATACCCACGTCCCAGCACTTCCCCCGTGCGTGTGGACTGGATTTGGCTGGCAATCTGGCGCGGTTATCGTCCCTGACCAGCCGCGGGCAGAAGGGCGAGGCACAGATGAAGCTTGGGGGGGCTCCTGGGACTCTGATAAAGCTCTTTTGGGGTGCTCTTGGGGCCTTGCCGCTGTTTGGGCCATTTGGGGGCTTTCGTGGGGCTCTGTTTGGGCTTCGGGGGCCCGAGTAACCCTCCTGGGGCAGCAGAACTGAAGCCCCGCAACAACTTGGGACTGCCCCGCCCCCCCCCCCCCCAAAAAAAAGCAGAGGCGGCCCAAAACGGAGGAGACTCAGAGGCTGGCCGAGTGGTCTAAGGCGCTGGCTTCGAGATCTCTTTGCGCGTGTTGGGCACGGCCTGTACCGTCTCGGAGATGTTCTGCACCATGAAAAGCTTCACCCCCGCAGTGGTGCCAGAGCTGCGGTCGTGACTCTTCACCTTGGAGCACATCTTCCTCATCACCAACAACGCCACCACCACCCCCTCCCCAACCTCCTCCTCCTCCTCCTCCTCCTCCTCCTCCTCCCCCTCCTCCCCATCATCATCATCATCATCATCATCATCATCATCATCATCATCATCATCATCATCATCATCATCATCATCAGCAGCAGCAGCAGCAGCAGCATCGTCGCCATCATCATCATCACCACCACCACCACCATCATCATCATATTCAGCAGCAGCAGCAGCAGCAGCACATCATCATCATCATCATCATCATCATCATCATCATCATCATCATCATCATCATCATCATCATCATCATCATCATCGTCATCGTCATCGTCATCGTCATCGTCATCAGCATCATCAGCATTATCAGCATCAGCAGCATCATCATCGGCATCATCGTCATCGTCATCGTCATCAGAAGAAGCGTGTTCTGCCGCTGCTGGCAGAAAACCAGAGGGGTGACTGGGGGGGGTCAAAACCGTCCCCCCCCCCCCACTCGAAAACCGGGGGGGGTCACTAGCGGTTCGACACCCCCCCCCTCCCCCCCACAGTCCATCATGAAAAGAGGGGGGGGTCACTGCCAGTTCGAACCCCCCCCCTCCTCGCCGCCGGTAAACGACTCCCCCTCCTCCCCCACTCCGGATGGAGGACTGTGGTGGGGACAGTGATTGGGACAGTGGTGGGGATGGTGATGGGAAGTGGGGACAGTGGGACAGTGGTGGGGACAGTGGGGACAGCGGGGAGAGTGGGACTGTGGTGGGGACAGTGGTGGGGACATTTGTGGGGACAGTGCGAACAGTGCGACAGTGCGACAGTGGTGGAGGCACTGGTGGGGACAGTGGGGACAGTGGTGGGAAGAGGAGAGGGGACAGTGGGACAGTGGTGGGGACAGTGGGGACGGTGGGACAGTGGTGGGGACGGTGGTGGTAGGGACAGTGGTGGGGACCGTGGGACAGTGGTGGGGACAGTGGGACAGTGGTGGGAACGGTGGTGGTGGGGACAGTGGTGAGGGCGGTGGTGAGGATGGTGGTGGGACAGTGGGACACAATGGGAAAGGGGTGGGGACAGTGGGGACAGTGGAACAGCACAGTGGGACAGCGGTGGGGACAGTGGGGATAGTGGGGCAGTGGTGGGGACAGTGGAGAACGAGGGACTGTGGTGGGGACGGTGGGGACAGTGGGGTGGGTGGGACAGTGGTGGGGACAGTGGTGGGGACAGTGGTGGGGAAAGCGGGGACAGTGAGACACTGGTGGGGGCACTGGTGGGGACAATGGGGACAGTGGCGGGAAGAGAGGGGACACTAGGACAGTGGTGAGGACAGTGGGGACAGTGGGACAGTGGGTGGTGGTGGGGGCAGTGGCGTGGGAACAGTGGGACAGTGGTGGGGACAGTGGGGACAATGTGACAGTGGTGGGGACGGTGGTGGTGGGAACAGTGGTGAGGGCGGTGGTGAGGACGGTGGTGGGACAATGGGACAGTGGTACGGTGGGGACAGTGGCGGGGACAGTGGGGACAGGGGGACGGTGGTGGGAACAGTGGGACAGCTCAGTGGGACAGCGGCGGGGGGGGACGATGGGACAGTGGCGTGGACAGTGGGGACAATGGGACAGTGGCGGGGACAGTAGGGAGAGTGGGGACAGTGGGGACAGTGGGGAGAGTGGGACCGTGGTGGGGACAGTGGCGGGGACAGTAGTGGGGACAGTGGGACAGTGCGACAGTGGTGGGGGCACTGGTGGGGACAGTGGGGGCAGTGGTGGGGACAGTGGGGACAGTTGGACAGTGGTGGGAACAGTGGTGGTGGGGACAGTGGTGAAAGCAGTGGTGAGGACGGTGGTGGGGACCTGGGAGTCGTTGGGGGGGGGGTTCGAACCGGTTGTGACCCCCCCCCGGTTTTCTGGAGGGGGGGGGGGGGGGTTCGAACCGGTAGTGACCCCCACCAGTTTTCCGGGGGAGAGGGGGAGGGGGGGGTAGGGGGGGTTGCTGGGAGAAAGGAGGGGGGGGTTCGAGCAGGTGAGGGGGGATTTCCGGAGCACGCTCTCACAGTCGTCATCATCATCATCATCATCATCATCATCATCATCATCATCATCATCATCATCATCATCATCATCATCAACATCATCATCATCATCATCATCATCATCATCATCATCATCACCACCACCACCATCATCATCATCATCATCATCATCATCATAATCATCATCATCATCATCGTCATCATCATCATCATCATCATCATCATCATCAGCATCATCATCATCATGATCATCATCATCATCATCCTCATCATCATCCTCCGCGTCCTCATCATCATCATCAGCATCCATCATCAACATCAACATCATCATCATCATCATCATAATCATCATCTTAATCATGATCATGATCAGCATTATCATCATCATCATCATCATCGTCGTCGTCGTCATCATCATCGTCATCATCATCATCACCATCATCATCATCATCATCATCATCATCATCTTCTTCTTCTTCTTCTTCATCATCATCATCATCATCATCATCATCAGCAGCATCATCATCATCATCATCATCATCATCATCATCATCATCATCGTCATCATCATCATCACCATCATCATCATCATCCATCACCCATCATCATCAACATCATCAGCAGCATCATCATCATCCATCATCATCAATATCATCATCAGCATCATAATCATAATCATGATCATGATCAGCATCATCATCATCAGCCTTATCATCATCGTCGTCATCATCATCATCGTCATCATCATCATTATCGTTATCATCATCATCAGCAGTATCATCATCATCATCGTCATCGTCATCGTCATCGCCATCGTCATCAGCAGCATCATCATCATGATCATCATCATCAGCAGCATCATCATCAGCATCAGCATCATCATCATCAACATCGTCATCATCATCATCAGTATCAGCATCATCAGTATCATCATTATTGTCATCAGCATCAGCATCATCATCATCATCATCATCATCAACATCAAAATCAGCATCAGCATCATCATCAGCAGAAAAATACTAATAATAACGACAATAACAATGATAATCATCATCGTCATTATCAGCATCTGCCTCATCATTATCATTACCATAAGCATCATCATCATCAACATCATCAGCATCATCAGTAACATCATAGTCAGCATAATCATCGTCATCATCATCATCAGTATCACTGCCATCGTCATCGTCATCGGCAGCACCATTAGCAGCATCGTAATCAGCGTCAACATCATCATCCTCACCATTATCATCACCATCAAAATCGTCATGATTATAAGCATCATCATCATCGGCATCATCATCAGCATCATGATCATCGTCATCACCATCATCGTCGTCATCGTTATCGTTCCAGTCAACAACAGCATCATAATCATCATCAGCATCACCATCATCGTCGTCGCCGTCAGCATCATCGTCATCGTCGTCGTTATCGTCATCCTGAGAATCGTCATCATCACCATCAGCAGCAGCATCACCATCGTCACAAACCATCATCATCCATCGTCGTGATCATCAACATTATCACCATCGTCATCATCAATCGTATCGCCATCATCATAAGCATCATCGTCGTCAGCAACAACTTCGTCATCACCATCAACATTAACATCCTTACCATCATCAGCATCATCAGCATAATCAGCATCGTCATCATCATCATTGCCATCATCATCGCCATCATCACCACCAGCTTCGTCGTCATCACCATCATCGTCGTCGTCCGTCTCGGGGACACACGCCCCGCACGCCCCCCGGTGAGAAGACCGGCCTCGCACACCCGGAACCCCGGGAGGGGCAGAGACAGCACAACACAACCCAACACTCCTCCTCATCCGCATCCCTCCCCTCCCCCTCCTCCTCCTCCTCCTCCTCCTCCTCCTCCTCCTCCTCCTCCTCCTCTTCCTGCTCCTCCTCCTCCTCCTCCTCCTCCTCCTCCTCTTCCTGCTGCTCCCCCTCTCCCTCCCCCCTTTGGGCGTAATTAGGCCGCTTAGGGTTAGAGTTCTTCCAACCCGCTTCTTCCCCCTCGGGGACGGGTTAATCACTGCTCCCTACCCCCTGCTCAAGACGGCTTCCGACGGCGTCAGACGGGTCAGGAGGCCAACAAGACGGCCCAAGATGGCTCGGAGATTGCCCAAGACGACCCAAGAGGCCCCCAAGAGGGCCTCCAGGAAGGCCCGAAGAGGCCAAAATCATTGATTTGCCTAAAGTTTTTGAAGGAGTCTGGCAGTTGCTTCCCCCGAAACGGCCCAAGAACCCCCAAAGATCGCCCCAAGATCGCCCAAGAAGCCTCCAAGATGGCCCCAGAACGGCCCAAGAGACACCCAAGACGGCCCCAAGTGGGCACCAAGATGGCCCAAGAAGCCTCGAAGACGTCCAAGATGGTCTCCAAGACGGCCCTGGAGCACCCCAACAGGGCCCCAAGTCGGCCCAGAGAGGCCACCAAGACGGCTTCCGACGGCGTCAGACGGGCCACGCATGCCCTAAGACGGCGAAAGAGGCCCCTGAGAAGCCCCCAAGGGCCCCCAAGAGGCCCAACGAGGCCCCCAAGATGCCTCCAAGAAGCTCCCGGGAAGCTCCCAGGGGGCCCCAAGGGTGCCCCCAGAGGCTCCCAAGATGCCCCCTCCTCCTTCTCCTCCTTCTGATATTCACCACCATCCTCCCCCAAGTGTTCCCCGAAGGGTTTCTACAACGGCTTGGAGACACAGATAGTCCAATAGCTTGGCAGAGCTCTTGCCACAAGACTCGGCCACATGGGCGATTCCAAAAGGCAGGGGACGGCGGTCATTCGGCGTAGGCGTCCGACATATGCATGTGCACATATGCAACATAAAGAAATGCATGAATACATAAGTGAATAAATGACTGGATAGACACATAGAAAACAAATAATCACATGAATAAAATGTATACCTGACTGAATGCATAAATACAGGTGTAAACAAATGAAATGTAAGACGAACACTAGCAATAACAAATAATAGAAGTAGTAAAATAATCAGTAATAGTGATATGAACAGCAACAATAGGAATACGAGCATTAACAATAATACCAATAGCACATATACGAATTGCATGGATAGCTATAACCACATTTCACTAATAATACCGATGATAATACTAAGAAAACGAATAGTAATAATAATAGTAATAATGATAATAGTACTAACAATGTCAATCACACTACGAATGACAATAAAACTAATCAGAACAATACTAGCATTCACCTACAAATACCAATAGTAGTAATGATTATGATGATGATTATGCTGCTGATGATGCTGATGTTGATTGGTGGTGATGGTGGCGATGGTGATGGTGATGGTGATGGTGATGGTAATGGTAATGGTAATGGTGTTGGTGATGATGATGTTGATAGTAACACTAACAGATAGCAAATGACATAGGAAAGCGCCTGTATGGACCTAAGCTCTGCCCACACGCACACCTGGAGGCGCAGAGACGCAACGACCACGCGAGGGGCCGATCCCAAAGCTCCCAAGGCGGACCCTGGATCACTAAATGTAGCCCTCCGCTGAGCTGGGCGCGAAATGAGTGGCGTCGAGCTTGCCGGAGATGTCGATACCCGTCTCCTGACAGCCGAGACGGGATCTACACCCGAAGGCGCAGAGGGAGGAGCAGGGGGAGGGGAAGGGGAAGGGGGAGGGGGAGGGGGAGGGGGAGGGGAAGGGAGAGGGAAGGGAAGGGAAGGAGAGGCGTAGAGGGAAGGAGAGGGGAAGGGGGAAGGGGGAGGGAAGGGGCAAGAGGAAGGCGTAGAGGGACGGGACGGGGCAGGGGGAGGAGAGGCGAAGCGGGGGCAGAGAGGGGTAGGGGGAGAGGAGGAGGAGGAGGAGGAGAGGAGGAGGAGGAGGAGGAGGAGAGAGGAGAGGAGGAGGAGGAAGAGGAGGAGAGGAAGAGGAAAGA